AATTTCTCTGCTGTTGAGATTAAATTGTTAGTTAGTATTCTGATTCAGTCACTGAGGGCAAAAAATTGTCCCCTAAAAATTTATTTTATTTCCTGTCCTGACTCCATGCTTCTCCACTCCATCCTGCAATAGCTGTGTTAAAATGAGTGATTGCACACAGTGTAGTCAAATCTAAACAGTTACTGTTCACTCTCAGAAAAAAGGTACGAAACTGTCACTGGGGTGGTACCCTCAAGGGTCCGTCTCAGTACCTTTAATCAGAGAACATAATTAAACTGTATTCCATTTAAATCATATTTTCTAAGTTGTATTGACTCCACACACACCGTCTCGTCTCCAGGCTTTTTATTTTATTGTTCTGTTTTAAAACATTAGGTTATGAAAAGGTACAAATATGTACTTTTTCACTTGGAAAAGCTTATTTAAGGGGCACAACTGGACCTTAAAATCACTGTTGTACCTTTGAGGGAACATTTACATTGTTTGTACTTTGATGAACGAAAAAAGTACCTGCATAGTCCCTTTGAAACTAACAGTGTAGTATAAAAAAGGTAGCCGTTTTTGTGGGATCTGAACTATGCACACCTTGTGATATAATGCAAAACCTCGCGCTATTTCCTGAATAATGCCAAAAGGACGCCTTCCAGGAGAGAGATGAGACCATCCAAAACGTGCAGTGATAAGTTATTACTTTAATTTTAGAATATTACAACATTGGTGTGATAAGAGAGGCAGATAAGACTAATGTTCTATTTACTTGCAGATATATCACGAGCTGAGCTGCACCTTGAAACTGCACTGTGGGACTATACGTGGCTAAAATGCGCCTTGTGGAGCAAACTGAGGCATTTTCTTGCATTGAGTGAGCGAGGATTTGAAGTTGATGATGTTTGTTAAAATGTTCTGTTTACTGTATGAAGTTACTGTACTTGGACTTGGAGCCTCTTGGACCCTGAGCTGCCAAACATCCTAAAATATACACCTAAAGTCGCTTCACACTGAGGGTAATTATAGTAAACGACCTCAGGAGTGAAGCACAACGCCATCTGGTGTCTAACAGCGATACTGCTGTTTGTCAGGCCTTGTTTCAGTCACAGTGAATGATTAAAGCGAGTGGTAAAAAAAACACTTTACAGTACCTGTGTTTATTTCTTTGGGTTGTCATCTGCACGAAAAGTTCAACGTAGGAAGAGAAGGACGATCCTGAGCGCCGCGGTGAGAAATGATCAAGTGCAGCACATCTCACTGAAAGAGCGGTTCGTTCAGAGCGTTACTGTTCATACAGCGACTAAGAAATGACTCTTAGTTTCACAGTAGACTTGTTTACACTCGTACCAACTTCGTGAAGAGAGGACAAAATTGGGGATTTCAAAAAGTGACAAAAACAGAGCATTTAAGACGCACCGTTTGTCGAAACGGTAGTTACTGAACTCAACTGCAGCCCGTTTTAAATTCAAATTTAACGGACACAGGGCTGATCAGCGCGCGCCCGATCTAACGGTCAAATGTTAACGAATACAGGTGAGAGACACAGTTTACTTTTATACTGTTTTTCTTAGAGTGATTATCCCGAGACATGGTATTGTTAACAGACTTAAAATGATATATCCTGATTTCATTTTGATAACCAGCTGATAAACCTAAGCTCATGTTAGTTTTTCGTGGTCTAATGATGTTAATTTTAGTTGACTCCTTTATAATTTAGGCAACAGTGCTAGAAAAACCGGCGACCAGAGTGGCTGGTCTCCAGTAGAACTCGCATATGTTGTGTTTTGGATGCTGCTATGCTGGTCAGCCAGCATGACCATGCTATGGTAACCAGCTAAACCAGAACCAGACCAGCAACAGGCCAGCATAAACCAGCATAGACTATCTGAGGCCAGTATGAAATGCTTGCTGGTTTTGCTGTTCTTTTTCAGCTGGGAAATCTGGTTTGGGCAGTCATGATAGCTAACGCTAGCCATATCTCCATGCACGGTTCCATAATGAGGCAGATTGATATTGACGGTGGGTAAAGTGGTGTGACAGTGAGCAAACTGAAGAAGTGGTCAGTTTGTAATGTATCTTCACTAGCTAGGTGAGTTAACAGCTAACTGATAGGTTAGCATGCTAGCTTTAGCTTTTGCTGTGATGCTTGGTAAACCAGCATAACAGCCTCTGTTTAGGATTGGATGTGACAGATCCAGATCTCAAATCAACGACTCAGTGATTTCTTGCTTTTCAGTTTTCCACTGGAGGCTATGATTGTCGACAGAGGGCGCACCACCGCTCCACAACTCATACAGAAGTAAGTGTTCCCCATAGACTTGCACTGATTTTCACTGAACTAGACAGGTCTTCTTTAAAATAAGTATTCATTGATTTAACACCCTTGACCCAGCTCATCAACTGAATATGGAGCCCTTCATGAGCTGGATCAGGTGTGTTGGAGAAGGGAGGAGTGCAGTGCTGTGGGCAGCGAGTAGCAGGATTAGAAAACACTTATTTATCGCTGTTGTTGAAACAAAACCTTGTATCTCCATTTTTTGTACTGTTTTATAGAATTTGAAAATGCCAATTGCCGTCTACATTGTGTTAAAAATTTGTGATGAATGGACCAGTAGAAATAGTCCATAATTACTTAAAAAAATCTGGTTTGTTTAACATCCATTCAAAGTTAAGAAGATATTTTTCCTTATCTTGGAAAATTACTGTTTTGGAGATATGAGGTTATGCACCAACAGCAGCCGTGTGTAAAATGATATTTCTTAAAGCATTTTTCTCTTGCAAAGCATATGTTTTTATGTTTTGGTCTTTTTTCTGCTTTATGTGTGGATTTTGATGGTTTCCCCAAAACGCACACCTGCTGACGGGAGGTGTAAATATTTAGTAGGTACTAAGCTCAATGTTAAAATTAGTTTGTGTGGTGCCACTCGTTTTGGTTTAGTAATGTATAAACCTGAACTTAGTAAACACTTACGTTACAACTAGCCTACGTTTGAACTTGTGCACAGCTGGTACAGCTGGCCACTGGTCACCTGAGATCAAGTTAAACAAAACTGCATTCTTGCATGAGATGTGTTTAGTGTGGTTTTAGCCATTCTACTTTATACACTCACAGTTTGTGACAACATAAGTTGTGTGCATTCATGCATTCTCTGCAGCTTTAGATTGTCTGTTCTGTCAAAAAACGATTAAAAAAATTACAATATAATGCACACTTTATTTACACTCTTTTATTCTAAGCTACACTTGCCTTTTTCAAATACTTGAAATCTACGAATACTAAGATGAGTGTGGATATCCATTTGTATATATTTGAAGAGCTATACCCATCGCTTGAAATGATGGATCATATGACCTACTCTAGGCTACATTAGTCATGAAATAAAACTTTTACATGGAGACTTACTCATGAAATGTCCACAACCCAAACTGTGTAGTGTTGTTGCAGAGAATTGCTGTACTTTTCAGCATGTCTGGGGAATATATTTACATTGCTTCTATAGAAACTATTCATTTTAGAGCACAGGGGAGCCAAGTGGCTTGACTTTGCTGTGTCTGTAGTAACATCATTAGCTACCTAGGTCTCTATGTACAGTTGTTTGCAAAAGTTTGAGCATTTCTGACCAAATTACATGTTTTTTTATTTCAAAAGATGCAAACTTTTGCACAAGTTAATAGAATATAAAGCGTTAACATTTGCAGACGATGTTATTTGTTAAATAGTTCACTGCAGAGGTTGGGTTTGCTTCCTTTCACTTTAAAAAATCAACAAAATATATAATTTGGCCAGGAGTGCTCAAACTTTTGCATACGACTGTCTATCTATGTATATCTCCAGGTTGTTGTTGCTGTTAGATTTATGAGTCAATGTTTGCTCAGTAATGGACAAAAGACACACAGGACATGAAATATCTTACAAAAATGTTTTCATATAAGACAGTCAGTTAATTTGGGCCCATATGGCAGATTTAGGGAATATTTTTTACTAGCATAGCATAAACCCCACCCCTTCCCTCACTTACAGTGGTTTCCATAGAAGACAGCAAATAAGAGACCCGTGGAGGAGACTAAGGGGTGTACGGGCGATACAGTTATATTTCAGTACTGTTCAGAACTCTCATTTATGGTTCTGTGTTGACATTGTTACACCCTTATTATACACTGGCAAAAATTTAATAATCTAACATCTTTTCTAAACATGGAAAATTGAATAGCCTTATATTAGTAATGATAATATATAGGGTCAATTGGTGATTGGAAGTCAGTCATATTTAGAGTATGTTAAAACAGGAAAAGAGTGGTCACCTTAAAGCACGTGGCTCAGTGAAGCGCTGTTTAAAAGTCTTTATAGAGAAATCATTGTCTGGGTTAACAGTGCTTAAGGGATGCAGCAGGATGAGAACACTAATCATGGACTCTTTGTTTTTCCTCTGTTTTTTCATTACCATCACACATTTTCAGTTTTCAATTAATCTTTTTTCTTCAATATGAAAAACTACAGTAGAACATGCATTTTGTTTCTTGCATATTCTAAACTGTGTAAATGATAACAGATTAAGAGCTGAACATGAGAGCGCTTAAAACTAAATAGTTAACTTTTTTACTGTCCTGCAGGAAATGTCTAAGACAGAGAATATGCTTGTCGTCGAGTTTGTAATTTTATTATTTTTTATAAACTGTATTTATATGAACTCTCTCACTACCATGGAGGAGCTTTGATCTTGAGAGAATCGCTTTTACAGTGGAGTGTTTGTTTGTTTGTTTGTTTGTTTGTTTGTGCAGTGACTGTTCTGTGTGTGTAACCGGACGGTGATCTGTTGTCGCTGTTCTTGTGCACAGCAGTTTTCAAAACTCGTAGAGTTTGTTTGATAAAGGCTGTGTGTGTTTTCATTTCAGCACCACCCAATAAACCCCTCACTCTGCTTTACCACCGTGAGGAGGGGTGGGGGAGTCGTTGTTACGTCACGTGATGTGTGCGTGCGTTCATCCTGTGTGTGTGTGTGTGTGTGTGTGTGTGTGTGTGTTAGTGCTGAAGCCTCAGTGGCTGGAGCTCGAATCTAAATCTCCATATCTGTGTGTGTTGCTGAGGCGGAGCGGCAGCGATGTCTACCAGCTCTGCGTTCAACGATGAGAAAGGCGGCTCGTCCAGCGCCGGAGAGCCGGAGTACGGACACGATCCGGCCAGCGGGGGCATCTTCTCCTCGGACTACAAGAGGTGAGAGGGGGTAGAGAGAGGAACCGGGCTGCTGTTTGACGTCCTGACTGTGTGTGTGTCCGTGTGGAGGGGGGAGGTGCGAGGTGGGAGCCCGTATATAATGATAGCGACGTCTTATGTCGAGTTCAGCGACCAAAAAAGACAATAAAACATGGCTTTTAAGTAAAAATAATGAGATTTTAAAGACGGTTGGTCGCGTCTCTGTGCGATATTCGCCGCCTGTGCTCGTGTGTGTGTCCCTATCCCACACCGGGGCCTGGCCGCCTCCGTTAGCATGTCTGAGATTTAGCCTGAACGGGCTGAGGCGACACCGGCCCCCTCACACACAGCACTGCTGGAGAAAGAACAACGAACCGCCGCGTCCGGATGCTAAAAACACCGCGCAGCGTTTCTGTGCAGAGGAGCAGAGAGATCCGCGCTGTGTCTGCGCTTCAGAACCGAGAGAGGTGGACAGCGCTCCTCCACCGACCATTAGCTAGCATAGCGGTGGGGGAAACAAGAGGCTGAGGGTGTAACTTCACAGAAGTACAGAGCCCACCACACGTTAACACTGTGTTCAAAGCAGAATTTCAGCATAATTCAGCGGTTGAGATGTTTACAAAGTCATTCAGAGTGGTTTGATCTGAACTGCTCCATTCCAGAGTCAGATTTCTTTACAGTGGTGGTGACAGGAACCAGGGGTCACAGTGTCTACAGCGCAAATGTAGCCACTTTATTTACTATCCAGAACGATCAGTGAACCTACACGTGTCTTCTGAGTTTTTAAATGTGATGTTGATAATAGTAAAACAGTGTAAAATGTGGGAGAAAAATAAAACATTTTCTTTTGGTACTATTTTGCACTCTGCATGTACCTCCCTGCCATTAAAAGCTTAAAAATCTTAAAATTACTATAAAACAGTGTCTCAGGCAGCAGTTAGCATATTCATACCTATTTCCCAGGTTATAACATGATACTGCACAAATGATGAGCAATTCTGACTCTGCAAGCTTTTCTAGAACAAAGCATTTCAGATCAAACTACACATCAAATCACATGTCAATGATTTAATATGCAGAAATGTTGAAAAACCAGTGGAATTCCCTATTAAATAGTAGGGCTAAACAACAATAACCCAAAATACACTGCAAAAGCTGACTTTTAGCATCACTGTTTTTTGCAAACTGAAAGAAGTGGCATTACTCAGTCAGGATGGAAAAAACAAGCAAAAAAATGGTGTTCTGCTCTGCCTCGAGTCACCCTATAGAACCTGACATAATATAAAAGTCAGAGGTCAGATTTCTGAGGTTTTTGGGACCACGTTATACGTCTTTACACATTGACGTCAAACACACAGGCTCAAAAATAAGAAGTTTAGGTCTCAAATGCAAAATCAATATTAAACTGATAAAGACATGAGGGCAACGATAAGAAAGATAATTCACTTGCATCCTTGGAAGACACGTCCTTCACCAAGTTTTGACTGAGTTCTCTTTGAATACTTTTTCAATGATCATCCTTCAATGATCAATCATCAGATTCATCCGCTCGGGGGAAGGGGACCAAAGCACATCCAACAAAATGTTCTTCCACATGTTGCACGCAGTTACAGATCTCCACCAGAGAGGTCTCCAAATCTTCAAATGCTACATAGTGCAGCTTTAACATAAGAGGAACACAAAATGTTTCCCACACATATATTAAAGGATTTGATCAACTAGAAATCAGATTCACACAATTAAGCTAGACCTGCAAGGCTAATGTAGCTAACAAGTAATGGAAATCTGATGTTTTTAGGTGACATAGACTTGTATCATATTAATCTTGTAGCTCCACTACAAAAAGAAGCATACTGTTGACGCCAAACAAGTCTTGGCCCAAACATGTCTTATCTTGGTCTAAATTGCAGTGCCAGTGGTGATTCACAATTTAGACTAAAACTCATTGTAGAGTAGGCTTAAACTTAATCTAATTTGGGAAAGTAATCTTAAATCATTGTTTTACATCTATATGACTCAGACCATTTGTCTCAAAATTGCATTGAAATATAGTTCCTCTGGTGGCATACAAATAATGACTAGGAACAGCAGAAGAACTGACCGTTCACTCTTGTTGTTAGAAGGATCCTCCAAACTATTAGAAGTGGAATGGCCCTAGAAAATGTCAGATATGTCCTTGTGTCCTTTTGAAGTAACCAAATATGGTCTTTATTTAGAATGCCAGATACAAGCCAAGATGTGATTTTTGTAAAGCCAAATGTATTGAAGGTGCTTATTGTGGAAAATATTTTTGTTATTGCAGAGGACTTGCCTGTGGACAACAGTTTTGTTAGGGTCCCTGTCGCACCATGATCATAGCCAAAGGTATTTTAGTTATTCAGTCAACTTATTGTGTTTTTTTGGTCAGTGCTGTTGTATTGTGGTACTGTGGACAGAGACCACACCTCAGTTGGACTCTGCTCTGATGCTGTAGCTTACTAAATCAGTTCTGAGGGGAGCATGTTGTTCTTGGTGATATTTGAGTTCTTCAGCTTTAATATGAATTACAGATTGTCAATTTAGTACTTAAGTAATATTATATATTCTTTTGTAGGTTGGAGTTTATTGTGAATGGATGTTGTGTAGAGCGAACTGCACACTAGAACTGAAGAAACTATCACCAGTGTGCAGGGAAACGTGATTTTATGAGCATTTTGATTACATTGTAGTCCGTTTCTTTCTCTCATTCTCTCTCTCCTCCCCCCTCTGTCTGTAGTGCTATTTTTACTCTTTGCGATCAGTGTGGATGAAGTATAAAAACTGTGTCACATTGCTTTTTTGCCATCACTGTCAGGGTCACGTCAGATTAGCTGATCTGTTTGTGACACCCTTGCTCTTGCAGTAGAGGTTTGACATGATTTGGTGACTGTGTCCCTCCGTTTTACAGCAACAGTCACATTAATGCAGATCTGTTTTCTAAACTAGAGATGGTATCTGTGTCTGCTTCATTATCTAACTTCATTGCTTCATTATCTAATAATATTGCAATGGCAATTTAAATGTGATTTTTTTCTATAAATTAAGCAAAGTTATAGAACAGTGGAACTTCACTCTCATAACTCGTAGTCATAATCATAAAACATTCTGACATCAGCTGATATCATGTAGCGTAAGCCTGGTAAATGCTGCCTCGCTAATGAACAAACACAGTGAACGAGCGTCTGCTTACACAGAGAAGTGTTAACTGACCCCTGTAATGGATGGCAGGGTTCAATGTTAACTTTTCATCCAACTTGCCCAGTCAGGCAAGCAACCTGAAAATTCACTGTCCCAAATCTTTGTATTTTAAGGTATTATAAATAAGCACACATAAACTAATATATAAACCATTTCCAAAAAAAGTTGGGATGTTGTACAAAATGTAAATAAAAACAAAATGCAATTATGTGCAAATCATTTAAACCTTATATTTCATTGTACATAGTACAAAGACAACATATCAAATGTTGAAACTGAGAAATTTTATTAATATTTTTCAAAAAATATTTGCCTGCTTTGAATTTGATGCCAAAAACACGTTCCAAAAAAGTTGGGACGGGGGCAGCAAAAGGCTGTTAAAGTTGTGTAATGCTAAAAAAAACACCTGGTGGTTGATTGGCCACAGGTCAGTAACGTGATTGGGTATAAAAGAGCATCCCAGAGAAGCTGAGTCTTTCAGAAGTACACATGATGAGTCTTTTCACTCTGTGAAAGACTGCATGATCAAATGTGCAACAATTGAAGAATAACATTTCTCAACATAAAACAGCAAAGAACTTTTGCTTTTCATCATCTATGGTACATAATAACATTAAAAGATTCAGAGAATCTGGAGAAATCTCTGTATGCAAGGGACAAAGCCAAAAACCAGTATTTGCTGGCCGTAATCTTTGGGCCCTCAGACGGCACTGCATTTAATACAGACATGATTCTGTAGAGGAAATCACTGCATGGGCTCAGAAACGCTTCCGAAAACCACTGTCTGTGAAAACAGTCTATCACTGCATCCACAAATGCAAGTTAAAACTCCAAAACGCAAAGAAGAAACCATATATAAACAGGATCCAGAAATGCTGCCACCTTCTCTGGAGCCGAGGTCATTTAAATTGGACTGAGGCAAAGTGGAAAAGTGTCCTGTGGTCTGACAAATCAAAATTTTAAATTCTTTTTGGAAATCATGGACACTTCATCCTCCGAGCTAAAGACCACTCAGCTGGTTATCAGTGCACAGTTCAAAAGCCAGTATTCATGATGGTATAGGGGTGCATTAGTGCACATGGCAGGGCATGACTTGCACATCTGTGAAGGCACCATTAATGCTGAACGATATATACATCTTTTGGCAACATATGCTGCCATCTAGACGACGTCTTTTTCAGGGAAGGCCTTGATTATTTTAGCAAGACAGTGTCAAACCACATTCTGCATGTATTACAACAGCATTGCTCTGTATTAAAACAGTCCGGGGGCTAAACTGGCCTTCCTACAGTCCAGACCTGTCACCACTGAAAACATTTGGCACATTATAAAATGAAAAATACAACAAAGGAGACCCTGAACTGTTGATAAGCTGAAATCCTATATCAAACAAGAACAGGAAAACATTTCACTTTCAAAACTACAGCAGTGTCTTCTCAGTTCCCAAACGCTTACAGAGTGTTGGTAAAAGAAGAGGTGATGAAACACAGTGGTAAACAGGCCCCTGTCCCAACTTTTTTGGAACATGTTGTTGGCATCAAATTCAAAATGGGCATATATTTTTCAAAAAACAAAAAAATTCTCAGTTTCAACATTTGATATGTTGTCTTTGTAGTATTTTCCTTAAAAAATATAGTTTACATGATTTGCATATTGCTGCATCCAATTTTTATTTACATTCTGCACAGCATCCCAACTTTTTTGGAAATGGGGTTGTATTTAGTTAAGGTCATTTTTTCTTAAAATAAATGTTCTTAACAAAACTACTCAAATTCCTACCACTGATTTGTATTTCTATTTTATTA